CTAATCAGCAACTACTCTGATTATCAGTTTCAGTATTTTTTGAGAAAAAAAACTCTAAATTCTTCAATTTCAGCTCCTTAAATGTGAATATTTTCTGGTTTCGTTCCTCCTCTGTGACATTAAACTGAACATCTTTGGGGGGAAAAACTAATCATTTGTCATCTTTGGGAAACACTGATGCACATTTTCCACCATTTTTTGAACTAAGCAATGAATTGATTAATCCAGAAAATGATCAGCACGTGCAGGTTTAACAACGTTGAGCGCTTAATCAGGGATTAGAAACAGCCACATGTGGACCTTTATGCTAACTGTGAGGCTAAATTGGCTCAAGTTTAAAGAAAAGCCACTGTGTGGGGTATTTGTGCACCAATAACGATATTATTTTTTAAATGAAAATGAGTCCAGTGCTGTAAAAATTGAAAAAAGTGGTGCATCTCATCCTTTGTTCCTGTATTTTTTGTTTATTTCTTATTACTTGTGTGTGTGTGTGGGTGTGTGTTAAGCACTGTGGGCTGCAGTTCACTGTATAAATAACATTTTTTACTACTAATTTTTAAGCCTTAGAGCTGAAGTCTAAGCGGCTGCCAAATCCAGCTACTCTTCGACGACTGCCAACGTTTTTTATTTATTTTTTCCCACTGGAGGAAAATCAAGTCAAGAAAATGTCCAGTTAGCGTTGTGCTGACTGTAGCTCATTTGAAATATGATGGAAAATGCAAGAATTTCTATTAATCCTGTGAACTCCGAGCAATTTCCTGGTGTTTATGGAAAGAGAACAACCAGGAAGGAGGAGAGAGAACTTAGAAGAAATGTGTTTTGTGCATTTAGAATGACATAAATAAGAAAAACTGAAATGAAAGTTGAATTTATTTGACAAAAAATGTTTAAAATGAATAAATAAAAACTAGAATTGACTTGTTTCCCACCAATGTTACTGGTGATCCTACATGCTATTAATATTTTACTGCTTACATTTGGAATTTATTTCCAAACTCGTCTCACATCAACTCTTTCATTTTAACACCGCCTGCAGTTCAGCCCGAAAATCCCAGAATTTTTGTCACGTGACTGTTCATTGCAGCTCAGCTACTAATGGGTCCTCAGTTGTGTTGAGGAGCACAGAATTTTTCATTTTTTACACAATCTCCGTAAAGCAAATAATTAATTTTTGGCGATTTTTAAAATGAGACGCATATAAAGTGGTTTCAAATGCAAATGAGGTGTTCAAGGACTGTAGGAAAATTGTGTGTTGCACTGATAAATGGTGTGAATTTGGCATTTTAAAAAAAAAACGTTAACATGTCTTCAAACCTGCTGGTGGATTTTACGGTTCTCTGAGTTAAAAGAAACATTAAATCATGTGTATTTATGTTTTAATTTCATTCACACATATAAAAACAATATTTCTCAGGATCTCCCTTTCTGCGTGACAGCTAACAACTTCTTTTTTTGTCATGTTGTGATATGTTTTGTGGCCAACAGGGTTGAAGACGGTGCATGTTTGGGGACTCTTGTGGCTGTTTTTGATTCTTATACTGATGTATTTCCCTGGTTTCTAACCGTCCGTGTTGTCTGTGTGTCTGTGCAGTCTGCGTAGGGAGGGCTACACGATGCAGGTGAACGTCAACGACTACCTGGACATCTACTGCCCCCACTACAACGACAGCCAGCGCATGGTGGGCACCGGCGAGCAGTACATCCTCTACATGGTCAGCTACCGCGGCTACAGGAACTGCGACCCCCAGCTGGGCTTCAAGCGGTGGGAGTGCAACCGGCCCCACGCGCCCCACGCACCCATCAAGTTCTCCGAGAAGTTCCAGCGCTACAGCGCCTTCTCGCTGGGCTACGAGTTCCACGTGGGCCAGGAGTACTACTACATCTGTGAGTGGACCAGAACCTTTAGCACGTTTACATGAATCAGTACCACACTGTAAAAAATAAGGCTTATGCTCAACTAGAAATATGAACAGCTTTATGTTCAACCTACAAACTAACAGATTTTTCTCTTCCATCACATATATTGCTCGTAGCATTTTTTTAAAAAGTTGTTCCAACCAGTTTTTTCACGTTTTTAAAATGTACAGATTTTTTTTTAAAAAAGGAGTTCCTCCAATCTGAGGTAGGTCGATTAAACTGGTTTCACTGGCATTTCATTTGAATTTCAGTTAAATAAATAAATAAATAAATACATAAATAGAAGTTGAAATTACAAATAATATTAAGTTGATAAAACACTATTATGTCCATTCGGTCAAGCAGAATAACATTTAGCATTTCCATGTTATTTAAAATAGTTTTTCTGTGTGAAATGTACTTCATTACCAATTTTGAACATGAGTTTTTAAGTTGACCAATATTTGGGACAAAAGAGAAGAATAGAATAAAAAAATACTTTATTTATCCCAGGCCTGGGAAATTAAGAATTAAAAAAGTTGCTGCCATCACATTTTTTTTATTAATTTTTTTTTTTATTATTTAATTTTGCAGCTTTTGAATTGTTTCGTGTTTTTGTTCATGTAGCAACTTTTTTTTTTTTTTTAGAAATTAATTAATTCTACAACATATTTGTTGCTAATTGACCGTTTTTATTATAAAACAAATGAGAAATCTAAATTAAAATTATGCACAATATTAAGTGCATGCAATTACCAATATTATTATGTTAACCCAAACAAGCAAAAATAACCAGGATTTAACATTATTTTATTTATTTTTTTAAATTCTGCAATATATACATAATTAGCATAATTCTGATAACAAGTTTTTAAGTTGGCAAAAAGTTTTTAAAAATTAAGTTGTCCTAATTAAATGACCTTCCACAGTTTTTGTCTTTTAAATATCTTTTTTTATGCAGCAACCTTTTGGAATTTAATTCATTCTACAGTGAGATTGTTGGCAATTGACTTTTTAAAATGATGAACGCAGTATATTAGAACACAGAAAAAATGCAAAGTCAAAAAACTAAAAACATCAAGTTCACATTATGTACAACATTAAGCTGATGCGTTTTCCAATATACATCGACCCAGCCCATCAAAGTAACGTCTGGAAGTTTTATCTACAATCAATAAATCAGAAATGAGTGTTCTGTACGTCCACGGATTATAAAATGGAAAAGAATCGCAGCAGGAAGCTCGTGAGCCGGCGTCTGACGTCCCAGCAAGATTAAACGTGTTGTTGTTTTTTTTCTATTGTTGTATGAATTTGATGAATCCTCGGCTGCGATTAGCCAAAGTGTGTCCTCGAGTTATTTCCGGATAACAAATGGCTCCTTCACTTCTAATCACATCAGCCTGCAGTCAAGCAGCTCATCCATTCTGTTGATTACTAATCAAATTAACTCGCAGCACCTCGTGCCAATACGCGTAAATGATGAACTTTTAGCTTGTCGCCAAACAAATCAAAAACAAATATCGCGGGGCGCCGGCTGCATAATGAGCGCCGCACTCGTTTAACCTACATTTACCGGATGGGAGACGTCTCTGGAAAGTTCTGCAGCAACAGCAGCGTCGACACTACAAAGACTTGTTTGGTTCTCTGCAGGCTGCTGTTTGCGCGGAACCTCAAAGGCGGCTTTCAATTATCAAATCAAAGCGGCTTCACTTGGAAACATACGTGAATCAGTTGTTTGGTTTTTACTGCTCGAATGAAGGAGTTCGGAACTTAAAGGGAGACTTTGACCTGTTTGATTGGCTGTTGTTTTCTTTTAACAGCAGCCCAGGTGTTGCTCATGACATCACCAGCGGCCCGCTGCTGCTCAGGTGTCCCAGTAAACCCAATTTTTGACCATTTTATTACGTCTAATAAAACATTGTTATTGCGCTGTACTCAATAGGATGAGTAAACCAAACAGAAGGGCAGAGTTTAGTGGGGTTGTTCTCCTGCAGCCACAAACGGTTCAGGTAGAAAAAACTCAAGCAGTGAAGGTGTTGAGGAGGTTAAAACAAAAACAAATGAGTGGGTTTTATGTTTCTTTTTTTGGTAGGGATCTTTTAGAAGATGCTGTATTTGTGTCAGCAGCTGAGCCTCCGTAACTCATTTTAGGATAAGATCAGATCAAATAAGGTCAAACAAAAATAAAAAATGCAGTGCCAAGTAGAAATGCAGTGAGATGAAAGTACAATATATGACCTAAAATAAGACACAAAAGCCAAAATAAGACTAGAGTGTTTAAGTACAAAGCAATGCTGGCTCAGGTAATAGAGTAATATAACACGTTATAGTGGAATGTTACACGTTACATTTGCAAGTTTGGACATGAAAGTGAAATATTGCACCTGAAAATTAAACATAACACATGATGCTGAAACTGTTTTTGCATTAGAGAAAAGTCATATTGCATTTGTTATTGATAATATTTCGATCTAAGGTTTGGTTTTTATCTGCATGTTGTAATAATCGCATTAGAAAAAGTTATTAGATTTATGAAAAGTTGTTCCACTCACTTGTGTTCGTGCTCGACTTTGATTTTAAAAACATTTTCTGTGGATAAGTTCTGACGTAGTGAACATGTAAGCCACTCTTTCGTTGTCAGTGTGACACGAGTGTGATCGATTTTTTCCATTTTTGTCCCGTAGATGCTCAAAGTTTTGTTAGTTTGTTGTCTATGAGGGAGTTTTTATTTTGCGGGTGTGGTCTAATATCCAACCTATCAGACTGTACAGGAAACAGAAACCGACTGTGTTAATACCAGCCCGTCCCACCACGTCCGCTCTGATTTTGCAGTTTGTTTTTGTGGCTGTTCTGACTCCAGAAACCCAAACATACGTCACGGTGTCAGCTACGGAGTGGAACAGTCAGTTCCTCCATTTTTATGCTCCTTTTTTAGGCTGTTTTTAAAAAAAATATATCTTCTTATTTTTCTAAATGAAGCTGCCACCAGGTAGAGGTTCCATGTTCTTAAACATTTGATTTAAATGGAGCAGAGAAATGTTTGAGCAACAACAGTCCAAACTTAAGCTGCAGCGCTATGAGAAAGTCCCAGCTGTTTGATACTGTGTGCAACAGTCTGCACTTCATAAGAAAACCTGCAGAATGCACTGATTCCAGGTGAAGCTTTGGTTTCTGACTTCTTCTACAACCATGCAGCTGGTAGCACCTCTTTCTGGAGTCGTTCTGCACCTAAAACTCTCCTCCACCGTCGGTAACCTGCAACAACAAAAAAAACACCAAACAGAGCTACAGCTTTACACAGAGCTGATGGATAACACATTTATGTTGTTATAAGGGTTATTTTTTAGTCCAAAATTGCACATTTAACTGTGTTTAATGTAGAAACAGTCACATCCAGCTGTGTTGAATAAGGCCAGTGTTGGTGCAGATCCAGCTGTTTACGCTGGTGCATCACTTCATGTGTTGTTCTGTAAATAAGTACGAACAGGCAGAGCATATTTTAACCTTTAATATCTGAGTTTTACAAACCAGAAGTGAAATTACAGACACCTTTAACATCATTCTGATCAGTCAAAACCCCAGAAAACAGAACCTTGCGGTGGACATTCACCAGAACTTTCATAACTGCTGTCGTATGTGGCTGCAGATGTAGCACTGTGAAATGCTTAAAAGGAAATCCGACTTACTGTAGCTTCTCATGTATTTCACAGATTCAGAACTCTAATTCAAGAATCTGTCTGTCGACAGCATCATTCTGATCAGTTCAAGCTTTGTTTAACAAACTGAAAAGGACGATGTTGAGATGTTAAATTGAGGAGATTTTAAAGACATCCTCAAACAGAAATGTGGTTAGTCAGAATCTAGATTAGAGCCCTGCATGGGACAACTTTCTTAATTTCACTCCTGTGGGTTTGATTTCGGATCATTTCCGCCTTCTTCTCCAATTTGAACGTCCACTTTCACCACAGAGTTCCTCTGTTTTAGTGTCTTTCTCCTCTGTTTCACTGCGTATTACTAAAAAATAACTGGGTAATAACTTAGCAAAATTACAATTCCATAAGAATCATAAGAATTAGTTGTTCTGTAGCAGCGAATCCACATTTTATCTTGTATCTTGTTTATTATGTGCAGGAAGAAGCGCTTTATCTTTAAAGCAAAGTTGACTTCGACCAAAGTTTACATCAAAATTTTTGCACATTTCTTGCATCTTCGTCAGCAATGATTTATCTCCATCAGACTCACCGTGCTTTGCTTAATCATCTTTGCTAGATGACTCCATGCCTCCATAAATCCAGTTTATTCTTTGACCACCAACAGCTGCGGCCAAGTTAAAACCATCTGCCTGATTCATGTTGGTGGCTGCAGGAATCTACTACCTGAAACTGGCATTAGTCCTAATCCAGCTGCAGATTGTCTCGTTGTGACTCCTGCGGCTGAAGCTTATTTGTAGGTAGATGCGTAAAAGTGGCGTCACTGATCTGGGAAGAATGTGGAGATCTTGGTTTATTTATTGGGTTTACCTTGACAGAACTGTTTTTTTTGTAATATTTTTGATCCGTTAAAGCTGCTTTAGCTGATTTACAATGCAAAAATATACACAGTGTTTACCAGATGTATTAAAACACTTGTCTAACTTGTTAAGCACTGCATGTATATAAATATATGTAGACCATCCAGCATCATGAAGGGCTTTAATGCCACTCAGCTCTCAATGTTTTACCATTTTGAACTGAATTCACCTTTTTATACCCAAATCTGATCCAACTGAGAAGTCAGAAATGAATCAAGCATCACATTCAACCGCTAAAATAGCTATAATTTGACGTCTTAATCAAGAAATACTGGACAATACAAGAATATATTACTATATAGCATATTAGAAAATTCATGGATAACAACAATAACAATTATATTTTAGCATTTTGGTTAAAGAGCTGCTACATACTGGTGTATTAACCATTACAGAAACATTTTTCTTATTATTATTTTTAATAAAAACGACCAATGCTGTTGATTTAAGGCAGCTGGGACATAAACCTGACATTAGGAGGACGTCTAATAAATGTATTAAGCACTGTATGGACACTTTTCCTTCATAAATGTATGATTTTAACATCTTTTTTATTTTTGCAGGCTTGTTTTTTGGAGGGGTTTTAGGCTTCATGCAGTCATAGATTCACTCGTGGGACATTTATCATCTTACGTTGTGCTTTTTCTGTGTTGCAGCCACGCCCACCCATCACTACGGACGCAGCTGCCTGAGACTACGAGTGTACGTCTGCTGCTCCACAGGTGAGTCTCCGGCTTCGCTCACCTGGACGCCGTCCCCCACCCCCCCGTCCGCTGGACCAAAACAGGCGGCGCTGTTAACGCTGCTGCCGAGCTTCCCCCTGCAGCAGCACTCCTCTCCTCCCTCTGTTTCTCAGCTTTGAAGGCCCCCCTCTCCTCCTTCCTCCGTCCTCGCTCTCCCTCCTGTCAGAATCCATTTGCTGCCGTGGTCGGTCAGTGGGTGGCTGTGTATATGTAGCCTTATCCTCTCTCGCTGCTCTGCTGCCACCCTTCAATCTCTCGGCCCACGCACACATTCACACACATACAGCGGCAGACTTTGATCCCTGGCCTGTCCGGTCCTTTTAACTTCCACAGCCCTGTAGTATTAACCTCTCCTCCCTGATTCACCCCCGCAACTCCATCGCTCTCCAGCTCTCTCTCTTTTTTTTTTCTTTCCTCCTCACAGCGCCGGCTCTCTTCAGTTTGATCTCTTCTCTGGCTGTCAGGGCTGTTGCAGCTCGTCGGCCTGTTTTCCTTAACCCCTGCTCCTCTCAAGACGTCGGGCTGGATGTAATTAAAGTGCTTTAGGCTGAGGAGCGCCCGCTGTTTTGCTGTTTCTCTCAGTGTGTTTTTGTTTCTCCCCGCCTCAGCCTCTGACGTGGACGATGAGCCGGAGCCGACAGAACCAGACTACACGCTGAGACCAGGCCTCAAAATTGACGATATCGGTGAGTCAAAGGCGAAAGCTGAGTAAGAGTGACGAGCATCTGTCCGTCACATCTGGATTCATGACGACAGACAGTTTCAGATTCATAAAAGTCATATGGTCTGAGCCAACAATGCTCCACAAATAAAGACAGCTGCTACATTAATGGTCTAAACCCCAAAACCCAGGGTTGAAAGGTTTGTGATCATTAAAAAAAATGGCCAAAATTACACCATTTATCAGAGCGAGAAACTGTAAAAATAGAAAAAAATACAGAATTTTCACCTTTGACTCAGTTCTTGAATGAATCGTCTATGACGTGCAGTTCTGTTGAGAAAATTAATCAAAACTAACTTTAAAAGTGTGAAAACTGATTCATTTAGATTACACCGATTCATAAAAGTCATATGATTTGTACTTTTCATAAGCTGCCAACAAAACAAAAATGTGTTTGTTCATCTGAAGGTCTTTGAAAACAGCTCAAAAATAAATTAAGTTTCATTCATGGTCTGAACCCCAGAAGCCAGGGTTGAAAGGTTTGTGATCATTAAAAAATTGCCAAAATTACACCATTTATCAGAGCCAGACACTAAAAAAAAAAAAAACAACAACAACAGGATTTTCCCCTTTGACTCAGTCCTTGAATGAATCATCTATGATGTGTGGCTCTGCTGGGAAAATTAATTAAAATTAAGCTTAAAACTGTGAAAACGGACTAATTCAGATTACACCAATCCATTAAGTCATGTGATTTGTACTTTTTCAAGCTGCTTCATTAAAGTTAAAGAAATGTAATTCCGACAAATCCTATAAGCGACAGTGTGTTCATTCGTCTCTGAATACAATTTGTGTAACGTGAAGATCTTCTAAAACAGCTCACAAATATTTATACAGCTATTTAATGAACAGTCTGATTTAAATATGTGTGTGTTTTTTTTAAAAAAAACCACAAATTACAACATTTATCAGAGACAGAAACTGTAAAAACTTCCCAGATTTTCAACTTTCACATAGTTTTTAAATGAGTCATGCGTAATGTGTGGTTGTTTTGTGAAAATCTCACTTTATTCTACATATTCAATCACCAAAAATAGTTTGCACTTAATAGATTCTGCAAAAACCTCCAAAAGTTCTGCACCTCCACGCACAAGTTTGAAACTTTTAGTGATTCAGCTGCGAGAAACAATCAAGTGACAAATTCTAAGGCTTTTTGGTTGAAATTATGCCATTTATCAGCACCAGAAACTGTAAAAGCAGAATAAAATGTCAGATTTTCAACTTTCCACAGACCTTTCACTAATTATGTGTGATTTTCTGTTGGTGGGGCAAAAAGTGACCAAATCTAAGTCACTTTATTTTACTTGTCTTGTTTAAAAATTCTCAAAAAATAAACCCTTTGCATTAACAACATTCTGTAAATAGTGAAAAATTCTGCATTTGTCAGTGCAATTTTGAGGCTATTGGTGACTCGGTTGCGAGTAACGGTCAGGTGGCAAAAATTCTAAGACTTTTCGGTTGAACTGCAGGCTGTGTAGACGAGTGTGGAAACAAATCGGGGAGACTGAGCGTAAAATAAAACAGCAATAAAACAAATGCGTCACCACTTTTCTCAAAGATAAAACTCTGTGTATCCACAAATCCTCAATAGTCTGCACTAAAATCACACCAGCAAGTTTTAAAGGCATGTTTTATTTTTTAAAAACTGCATAAATGGCACCATTTATCAGAGCAAGAAACCACAACAGCTGAAAAATATGTCAGATCTTTGACTTTTCACCAACCTTTAACGAATTATGTGTGTTTTACGCTCTGCATTTAAAAATTCTCAAAAAATAAACCCTTTGCTTTAACAACATTCCGCAAAAAGCAAAAAATTCTGCATTTCTCAACGCAACTTTGAGATCATTAATGACTCAGCTGTGACCAACAGTCGGTTGTCAAAAATTCTACCATTGTTTTCAGTTGAAGTGCAGGCCGTGTTTCCACTGAGCGGAGACACGAGTTTTCTCTCCTTCTAGTTGTTCTGTTGGACTTTATGTTGCAGTTGAAAAATGTGACTTGAGCAAAAAGAAACTGCTGCTTGGAGTTCAGAGGGACACAAGAAACATATAAAACCTCCTAAAACGTGTGAGCGAATTGGTCGCTGATGTTTGACGACGGCGCAGCATCAAAAGTGGCCAACTGAAGTGAAATGTGCCATTTACAAAAAAAAAAAAAAAAAATGCCATTCAGCAGCGTTAACTTCACAGCACCAGCTGGCCATGAATATTCATCTCGCACATTTCGCGCCGCTTTCACCCGGATGAGCAAAGAACACGGAGTTTTCGTGATAATTTACCAACAAAAAAAAAAAAAAACTTCATTCACAAAAAAACGAGGGAAGAAAAGCTCGGTCCAGATATGCTGCTCTCGCTGGAGTTAAATCGAGTCGGAGCTGTTTGAAACCTGGCAGCGGTTTCAGGGAGAAGCCGAGCAGCGAATCAATAAATCACCGGATAATCTCTCGCATGATCATACGGTTGATTCTCGGTGTTGTGGCAACGGAGCAGCAACAAACGCGCACACCTAGTTTGGCTTCACTCGCCGCCGCTGCCACCTTCTACACATCCAGACACGCTGCCATCAATCACGACCTGGCTGCCTGGCTTCCACGCTCTCCTCCGAGGTGGCTTGTAAAATATGGAGTTGTGTTGTTGTTAATCTGCCGTGTGTGTGTGTGTGTGTGTGTGTGTGTGTGTGTGTGTGTGTTGGTGGGTAATAAATCAGTTTGTTCTAATAACCGTCATCAGAAAACTCATCAGGGCTGCAGGTGATGGCGGTTGGTGGAGGCCGTTCTCTCCCTCCCTCCCTGCCTCCTTCGCTCCTCCTCGTTCCTTCCCCTCCACGTCCTGCTGCCCTTTAATTCCCATCTTCCTCCAGTTGTCCTCCGAGTGGCGACGCAGCGAAGAGGAAAGCCACCTAAACTCACTTTATTCACCTTTTGATGTGTGAAATTGAGTTTTTCCTTCGCTTAATAACTTTTTTTTTTTTTTTATCGAACCGATATTCATTGAATTCGTAATCACAGCGATGTCAGCTGAGTTAAATTAGAGGAATTAGTTTATTCCAAAAGTTCCATTAATTGATTAATCACTTTATTTGTTAATCAGTCAATTAATCGTCAACTATTTTAGCAATCGAATAATGAGTTTGGCTAATTTTTTAAGGAATAAAAAGCCCAACTTCTACAAATTCAGTTTCTTAAATGTGAATATTTTCTGGTTTCTTTGGGTTGAGGACAAAACAGAACATTTCTCTACTTTGGGGATCACTGATCGCCATTTTTCACCATTTTCAGACATTTTATAGACCAAATTAACTAATCGATTAATCCAGAAAATAATCAACAATAGAAATAATAATTGCAGCTCTGTATCTAAGACATTCCTGTGTTTCTGTGCGTAGAGAACCAACCAGAGTGGCAACGATTTTTAAGCAAAATTTAAGTCCAACTTCTTCGATTTCAGCTTCTTTAATGTGAATATTTTCTGGTTTCTTTGGTTTGTGAACAAAACAAGACATTTCTTTACTGTTGGATCACCAGTTTTCACTGTTTTCTGACATTTTGTAGACCAAACAAGTAACTGATCAATTGGGAAAATAATCAATAATAGAAATAATCACTAACTGCAGCTCTGTATCCAAGACATTCTCGTGTTTCTGTGTATAGAGAACCAATCAGAGTGGCAACGATTAGTCGATTAGTTCTTAACCTTTAAATTAATCGTGAACTTCTTTAACAATCAAATAATGACTTGGGCTATTATTTTTTTAAGGAATTTAAAGCCAAACTTCTCCGATTACAGCTTCTTAAATGTGAATATTTTCTGCTTTCTTTGGGTTGTGGACCAAATACAACATTTCTCAACTTTTTCAAACACTAATCACCAGTTTTCACCATTTTTTGACATTTTATAGCCCAAACAACTAATTAATCAATTGAGAAAATAATCAACAATACGTTAAAGGAATGGAGAATGTAAATTACAACCAGCTATTTTGATAATCGACGAATCCATTTGAGTAATTTTTCAAACAAAAACAAGTCCAAGTTCTCTGATTGCAGCTTCTTCTGCAGAATATGTTCTGGGTTTTTTTCTCTTCTTTATCTTTTATGGCAATAAACTGAATATCTTTGGACAAAACAAGACATTTGAGGACACACTGATCAACATTTTTTTCACAATTTTCTGCATTTTATGAACAAACAACTCAGTCAGTTAATTGTCAGTGAAAATAAGCGTTACTTACAGCCCGGATATGACACGGTAATGTTCTGAAATCAGTTGATTTATCAATCAGTCCATTAGAGCTGCAACTATTCATCAATTAGGTGTCTACTATTACATTCTTGGCCAACTATTTTGATAATAAGTTAATTAGATTTGACATATTTTTAAAGAGAAAAGTCAAAATGTTTAGATTGCAGCTTCTTAAATGTGACATTTTCTGGTTTCTTTCCTCCTCTGTGACAGTAAACTGAACATCTTTGGACAAAACAAGACATTAGCCAACTAATTTCTTGCTTTCGTTCCTTCTGGGGCTGAGGAAAATATCCATTTTGTATTTTTCTGGCAGCTATTTTGATTTGATTTTGCAATTTCATTTCCTAAATTCAGTTTAAAATCCACTGTGCAACAGATGTAAAAGCCGTGATGAAGCATTATTAACACATGGGAGGTGAGATTGTCACATAGAGGAGGACGTTAGGAATGTGTACAACCATCTACACGGCAGTTTAAACCCTTTTGCACAACGTATAACCTAAACTGCATCGCTCATTGTAATCTTTCAAATTGAGATTTTGATTTAAAATAGATTAATTGTTCATAAAGATGCTCACTGCTGCAGCAGAAAGCACGTTTTAAAATTCTAAATCACACGTAGTTCCAAGTTTCTTGCAAGAATATGAGGAAAAGTAGAGATTGTTCCACATAAGAAACGCTGTATTTAATGGGAAAAAAGGGAACCGGAGGACATGAAAATACTGTTAATATTTGGTGCACGGCTGACACAATGGCGGCGCACAAATTAGCCCAGCTCCTGTGGGTCATTTTCACCTGTAGTGCCGAGTTGCCAATTAAATTAATAGGATAACCCAAGTGGTGCGAGAGGAAGTGGGTGAATCAGCAGGGAGATGTGAAATGAAGTGAAAACAAAGAAGCAGAGCAGTTTTTTTCTGTTCCCTCCTCCTC